TTCTTCCGTGTAGTGTTCTGCAGCATCTTGGTCGGACTCGCACACCCTAATTTTAATTATCTAGGACAGACGTCCTGACTTGCCAACCTATCTGTTAGAACTTTATGGATTCCAGAATTTTATGCACTTGTTTCAATATACAGGCTAGTTCTCTAAAAACTGTAGAAGCCTGAGCCAAAATATTAAGATTTAACCCAAATCACTTAGATAAAATGTGGTTTGTCACTGATTTTCAGAATGTATTGTTTAAAAGTAAAAAAAAAACGTTTTTGCCCAATACTTTAATAGTATATTTTATTCCGCCTACTGTAAAATAATTATACACAGTTCAAACGTTCGCGAGTGATCGGCATTAATTTTTGGGTACATTTTTGCAGACCAGGACTTAGTGAAATGATCGTCAAAAATGACTAACCAAAACTAACAGACCGTGGTTAAAATCTACTAAAAACATCCGATCGCTCACAAACTCGGCGCTAAAGTGGCTCACGATCATGGCAACGAGGCGTTTTAAAGTGATGCTGTAACACCCACACTTGATCGGTGCATAATTGGGTATTTTGAAGTAGTAAGTAAATTATTTGGCGTATCCTTGTCGTACTTTGAAGGACGTGTAGGTATCGCCATCTAATCCTACTAAATTGCTTGACTGCTGACTCTCTTCAAATTCTACGCCACTGAGTGAATTGCATTTTATTACAATTTTTTGATTTGTCAATAATTTACATGTAAATAAATAACATACTTTGATGTCAGTGGGTATAGGTACTTATTATATCGGATTTTTTGCAACGGAAAATTGCATCTATTACGCACATGAAGCAAAACATTATTTATTGCAATGTCTTCTCTCTTTTGTTACAATCCAATGAAAAGGAAATTTTATTAACAGAAAAATATCAAAAAATACATTTAATGTCAGTAATTTTGGGTTAAATCTTAAAATTTTGAGATCAAAATACTACCGTTAAAATATCTGCTAACATTAATGAATCACTGGGTATTTAAAATTTGTTCACACTGATGCCGGAATCATATTTGAGTTAGGGTCACCAATAGTGTAAAGTTTTGCAACTTGTTGATGAAGACATTCAGTCCTTGAGAAATCTGATCTTCCGGATTAAGGCTTTTGGTGCGTCCACTAACGTCAAACGAGAGTTCTATTAATTTTAGCGAATCTGGTCGAGTAGCGGACCAAGTCTGCTCATTTATGGCAAAAACAAATCGCTATTTGTGAAGCATCGAATCTGCTGGCTAAGATCTGATTATCTTTTAGGTTTAGGCAGTCTTAAAAGACCTGCATATTTTTCTCCATGACTTTAGTAGCTTACGTCAGTGAGTATACAGAAAGTGCTTTTTGACGGATAAAAGGAAAGTGGATTGCAACAAGTATCAGCTCGTCTTTTGTATGTTTTTCACTAATAACAGAAATACGAGCATACTAACCCGACAGAATTAAGACATTGGTCGACAAGTTTTAAAACTGCAAAATTCGTTCGGGTTACAAAGTCATTAACTGTTTACAAACTTACGGTTCATATACTTGCCTATTTATATCTGCGCGCTGGCGCTTCGCTTTTATAGGAGTAGAACAATCCAGCCTTCCCAAGCAGCAGCGTCTATCACTCGGATTCGTGCGTACACCCTAGTTCTTGGAGCCGGATCGGGCGCAGCCCATTCGGTTCGCTCGTCTGATTCTGGCCCAAGTAGACTGAAAGACTATTTCATTTCTCTTCAAAAACAATTTGTTTTCGAGATGCATATCATTTTCCAACTTTGACTGGTATAGTTCGTCCCTCACTAAGTGGTGTCCACCACGTAGTGAGGGAGTGCAACGTCCAAAAAGCTGCCTCCACGGGGTCGGCATTTAGGCAATTTCATTCCCGTGTAATTCCCGAAGGTATAAAAACTCAAAAGCTGTAACCTATTGCCCTTTTCTCGGATTGGAATTTGGTAAAAACCACGGACAATTGTTGGAGAAAAAACTCGTTTTCTATGAAACTATTTTGCGACGTCTTCGTGCCGCACACGATAGCGGTTAGATTTAATGGATGCCTTTAAACTGCGGGAACAAGCACACTACTGTCTGTTGGTTTTTTGAACCATGTGAACAGAGGTCGTCCTTATTGACATTTATAAACCTAATTCTGGCATATCGTTAAACTCGATTCGTGCAGCTTATGGCCAGTCTGGCTGCAAGACTATCGGAGAACCTTAGTGTCGCTATAATTCAGGACTCTTCCAGGGTCACCTGGGTTTCGTTCAGAAGGGTAAGAAGTAGACAACTCTACTTCCAGCGTCCCCATTCTTCGAAACACGCACGCATTGCATAAGAAAAGTCGACACCCAAGATGCCACTAGAAGGTTTTAATCTATAATGAAAAAGCAACTTGGCAGTTAGAGAGCCACTGTCGTCATCACTATTGCGCCCTTGTCGAAATCTTCCTGTTCGTATTTTTACTTATATGAGAGTCTTCTTTAGATACCGTGTGGGTGCTTCTTCTTTCATATATGACTACAAGTCGCATTTTAAAGTTCTTGTATGACCTAGTTCATCTACTTGAGTTTCTCTAAATTTGTGGTCAACTTTTGTTTTTGTTATTTGGCCGTTATTACAGCTTGTCGAAAACTCCGAGGCGAAGAAACTAACCAAAACTACAGTTCTGGTTCGGTGCATCAAAATTTTAGTGTTTTGGTCCTTATATAGGCAGTTGGTTGTTGTTGTTGTTGTGTTCGGCTGAGAACGTCGCCGCGGAGGGTAAAAGTGTACAACAGAACCTAAGGCAGTCGATTCCTTACGATCCCAATTTTGGCCAAAAAATCATCTTTAGCGAAGAGGTGCATTTTTAAATGCACAAAATTTCCGTAAATAGGATGGCAACTACCTACGCGAGGTTTACCAGGTGATAATGCATTCTAAAAAACGTGTATGGAGTTTGTCGGCCCTTTTCTGAAAAAGCTGTTGCTAAGGAAGTCACCCTTAAGGGCGTGCGCTCAAGAACGATGATAAAATTGAACCATATGGACCTAGACGACATGTGGTTCCACCAGGACTGAGCTAAATGTCTCACAGGTGATTTGGTTAACTCATGGAGCGGAAGCAGACCTTTGAACTTTGTTTTATTTCACACTTAAAATGGCCCATATAAGCCTTTTAAATAAAAAATAATTTTCTTAATGCCACCCAGTTTGTTATATTTCACGTGTGCCTACCCCTTTAGCATGGATATCGTTTTACGATTTACATTCAAATTCCCGCCATACCTATATTAAATTTATCAAAATTCATTCAGGTGATTCATTAGTGATGGTGATATTGTATTTTTTAAGAAGGAGTTCGAGAAAAATCTCGTCAATCGGCCGAAATAAATTTTTATGTTCTGATCTTTGTCTTGATTGCGATTTCGTGTGAAATGTTATCATACAAGTGTAGGAATATTTTTCAAAGAAACTTCCACATGCTACTGTAATGCTTTTCACAAAACTTCTGGAATCCTCCTGCGTCGTGTTTGCTTAGTCGAAATGCTGACGTTTCGCCAATCATCCTGTTGGCTTCTTCAGAGCTTGACTGAAACTGGATCGATCGATAGTTTTGTAAAAAGTACATTAGTGCTGTTTTGGAAAAATTAACCCAACTAGTAATGTTCGTAGAAAACTTGAACTGAGGTGGCTTGTACTTGATGAAAATCGATTTAACAAAATAAATAAGAACTAAAAGTTTCATTATTCAATTATACATATTCACAGACATGTTGTCGAAACCATAGTGATGTGAATATATATAATTTCGTGAAAATCTGAACTTTTAGTTCTTATTAGATAATAATAAAAAATAAACATTGATAAACTTCTTCATTTACTCGTTTATTATGCTCAAATCAAATACCTAAATCAAACTTGTTTTTATGAAAATTGCGTTTATCAAATTTATAGTAATAATATAAAATTTAAGCCCAAAATATTAATGATTTTAATAACTATCAAAATACTTAGCTCATTTTTAGAGAAATTTGTTCAAAATACCTTACACCTTACAGCCTCTACATGTTTGTCTTGTGTTTTTTCAAAATTTAACCAAAGACACTTCACTTACAGTAACTTGTTATTTTTATAAAAAAAATAAGTGCATCCATCCTACGCGTTAAAAGGAAGACCGTGAAATATAATATGAAATATTAAACATAAAGAAAAACAAACTGGAAAGTTTTCCTGTAAAACAAGGGTTACAATCTGATGAATCAATATCATGCACATACGAGTAGGAACTAGGTATTATTTGGTCCATTCAACCAAGATACAATCGGAGTTTGCAGGAATATGTCGTTCCAGAGAGACATGTAAGCTCACTTTGCTTCAGTTCATTCCAATTATCGCTTCGTAAACAATACACCTCGCGGCATTTTGACATTGTTTAATATATAATTTCAGTTAGTTGAAATATTGTCATCGAATATTTGTGAGATTATCGGATACCTAATTCACAAATGTAATGAGTATTTGTTTTTAAAATAAGCCAAAGCTAGGTTTAGTTAAGGATAGTAAAATTAATTCTTATGTCAGGAGAGTTCTATATATTTATTATTATATATTATATTTATATTATATTATATATTTTATATATTTATTATTATTTGAGTATTATGGAAATTATACTTTTTTCTATAAAATTTCGTAAAGAAACTTTTGCCAATCACAATTACATGCTTTTTACAAAACTTCTGGATTCCTCCTGCGTCGGTTTTTGCTGAGTAGATAGATCCAGTTTCAGTCAAGCTCTGAAGAAGGCAACAGGATGATTGGCGAAACGTCAGCAATTTCGAGTAAGCAAAAACCGACGCAGGAGGAATCCAGAAGTTTTATGAAAAGCACTGTAGGAATATTGGTCCAACAATTCCCTACGCTCGATTTTATTAATAGAAATTTTTTTACCAATTTCCCGCGTCTATTATGAACTTTATTATGTATGCAAGTGCTAGTTTTTTATGTATTTTATTTTCTAGGTGTTGGATTAAAGAGTCCCGATTTGATATAATCCAACAAGTTCCAGTGGCTGGCACCATTGGTCTAAATTTGCTCTTCCTTATAAATATTGTAAGGGTGGTTATTATTAAGTCGAGGCGGGGTCCGGTGAACGACGGACAAAGTGCAGCTGGAGGCGCATCTAGATCGACACTGCAAGCATTGAGGTACACTACACACTTACGTTTTAGTAGTTCAAAATGCACAAATTCTATATTAATCTATTTTTTGACAGCCCAGATAATAGCGAGCCCAATTTAGATCATGTAATCAGTTTGTTTAACAAATTCATTAAATGAACCTCTATCTATTTAGTAATTCTGCAACATTTTCACCGCGTATCGTTCATATTAATAAAGCTAGCGTGTTGCAGCTTTCGTGACCTAATATTTTTTTTACTTCTTTTTCATGAAATTAATGGTGGCATAAACGAAAATTTCATAACTCTCTTCATTTTTAGGCCCCATATAGCTACTAAACACATAGAGGTCCTGTCTATGCTGAGAGTACAGGAACTCATGAAGCAACTATGTAACATTTTTTTAGCCAATGGCAACTCTAATGACAAATTCTAATGTTGGACCCATAAAACCTTGCGGCTTTCAACAAACAACATGACCGCTGACAGTATTTTTGCAAAATATATCGAAATCATATTACATTTTCATGCAAAAAAGGAGTTAAGGTGTGGAAAAGCCGTGCAGAATTGCAGCATCCCCCATTACTATAATTCAGTAATTAATTTGGCGTTTTTGTTCTTTAAGCCCTGTATTGGTATTGGTATTGGTATTAAAGGGGGGCGCCCTCGCGGGCGTCCAAGCACTTAGGTCACCGTTGGGCCCGTTGTGCCCCCAGGCCGCTCTAGAGGGCGTCCAGAATACCGCCCCTCCTATAGAAGGTCAGCAACTCCATTAGCCCAATACCGTGCACTGAGTCCGGATCGATCAGGGCCGTTCCTAAGACTCCCAATCTTGCCCATGTCAAGGCAGGGCACTCGGTGAGCAGATGATACGGGGTCTCTTCCCCTTCCATGCACCACCTACACTCCGGGTCGTCTCCAATGCCTAGCAAGCAAAGATGCCTCCTAAGCCTGCAATGTCCTGTGTAGGCCCCTGTTAGTGCTCTACACTCCCTTCTGATCAGTCTAAGCAGCTCCCTGGTCCGAGGAAGGGCGGGCCCATCCATCATAAGCCTCGCCTGCCTCATTCCCGGAGCAACTCTCCAGCCCCCCGCGGACCGGTCTCTCGCCCAGGCTTCGAGAGCTCCCCGCCTCACACACGGGGCGTTCCCCAAGCGGGGCTCTGGCCCTATATGCCTATGCGAGGAGCCCTCTCTGGCTAAGGCGTCCGCTGCCTCATTGCCCCGGATACCGGTGTGACCCGGGACCCAGACCAACGTGACCTCTCTCTCCTCAGCCACCCTCCTCAGTACCCCTTTGCACTCCTTTATCAACAAGGAGCGCGTACGCACTGACCTCAGCGCCATGAGTGCAGCCCTACTATCCGAGCAGAAGAAGACTCTCCCCTAGAGCCGAAGCACCTCTCTGGCCGCCATCAATAAAACGAAAATTTCCGCCTGAAACACAGTGCAGTACTGACCCAGAGGGACCGACAAGCTCGATCCCGTTGTCTCGCAGTACGCTCCAGCTCCGGCCAGATCTACCATTCTGGACCCGTCCGTGTACCAGACAAGTGCATCCCAGGAGCCCACTCTGCCCTCTCTCCAATCTTCCCTTGATGGAAAGAGAAAGGTCAATTTGTCAAAGAAGGTCATCTCGGGGATCATGACGTCACTCGGCATGCCCATGACCCCGCGATCCCCGCGACAGCCCTCTAAAATGTCGTACGGACCCCGATTGAAGGTTCCCTCCCTCCAGAGCCCGCAGCTCGCCAGCCTCACAGGTGTCCTGGCCGTCTCCATCTGCACCCGATCTGCCAGAGAGGGCAACCCCACCAGAGCCTCTAGGGCCCTCGTGGGCGCCGTTCTCATGGCGCCCGTTATGCAGAGGCAAGCCAATCTCTGCAGTTTGTCAAGAACTAGCCTTGCTCCCGCTCTTTTGGTTCCCGGCCACCATGCCACTGCCTCATGCGTGAGCATAGGCACCACCATGGTACCGTAGATCCACTACATGATCTTCGGCCCCAGGCCCCAAGTGCCCCCTACCGCTCTCCGGCACGCCCACAGAGCTCCAAAGGCCGACCTGGTCCTTGATCTTATATGTTCCTGGAAGGTCAACTTAGAGTCCAACCATACGCCCAAGTACTTGACGCTTCCGCATGCAGAAAGAGGCACCCCATCCATCGAAATGTTGTTCTAGTGAAGATGACCATCTCCACCTTGCCAGGATTGACGGCCAACTTGCTATCCAGGCACCATTGTGAGAATCTTGCTAATGCCCCGTTCAGGAGCCCCTGCATCCTCCTCACGTCCGTCCCCTGTGTCATTATCACAAGGTCGTCTGCATATGCCTGAGCATAGACCCCGTGTTCTTCCCTCAGAATATGCAATATCTCGTTCACCTCTAGACACCACAGGAACGGGGACAAGACCCCGCCCTGTGGACAACCCCGTGATGAACCGATGGAGACCTGTTCCCCACCCAGTCTTGCCTCGACCCTCCGGTCGGTTAGCATGGAGCGGATCCACCTTATAATGGCCGTCCCCACTCCAGTACTCTCCACCGCCCTGCAGATCGAGTACAGGGCCGTGTTATTGAAAGCCCCTTCGATGTCAGCGAACACGCACACCGACAGCCGTCCCGAGCCCATACCCTCCTAAAACCTGGAAGTCAGATGGTGAAGAGCTTAGCTCACAGACCCTCCACTTCGGTACGCATGCTGAGCTGGCTCTAAAGGGGCCTCCAGCTCCACCCAGTCCCTCAGATACCGGTCCACCAGTCTCTCCAGAGTCTTCATAATGAAACGGGCCGGTACGACTTCGGGTCCGTGTAGTCACTCTTCCCTCCTTGGGAATGAACACTACCCTGCTGTGTCTCCACAGCTCGGGCACGTACCCCCTCGCAATGGAGGCCCTGAACAGGTCCATCAGCGGGCTGTTCAGGAGACCTCCGTCCCTTTGCAGCAGAGCTGGAAAAACTGTTGTAGTGTGTCCGCTGGTCCCGCTGTGTAGCCACCGCCGGACCACTCCCAGTCTTCCCGCAGGGTCACTTCTGAGTACCCTAAGGAGCCTAGCCGCGTCCGGGGTATTCATTACTCCGTCGCAGTAGCCCCTCCAGGCCCTCCTCTGTGATGCCCGTAGTTCTTTTTTGTACTGTCTGCGGACCTCCCTATAGAGATCCCAGTCCGCACCTTGGCTGCTGCTCCTCCCTGTATTGAACAGGGAAGAGCTCCACCAAGGAGTGCTCCCCGCCCTATGACCCTCTGTCTCAGGGCAGCTATTCTCGAACGCCCGCATCATAGCGGAGCTGACTTGGTCGGCGGCCTCGTCAATCTCCTCCATTGTCCGGTGTTTACTTGGTAAGCCCCCTAGGCGCCAAGCGAGCTCCTCTCTATAGAGTTCCCAGTTTGTTGCCCGGGGGTTCCTAAATCTAACGGGTTCCGGAACACCCATCTCCAACCCAAAGGTGATGTATCTATGGTCCGACATAGAGTCCTCCCCACAGACACACCACCCAGTTATTTCCGGGAGCAGAGCCCTGGTACAAAGTGTTAAGTCTATGACCGAGCTCCGACCCGTCGTGAAAAACGTGGATTCTACCCCTCTGTTGGCCACCTGCAGCCCTGCCGAGGCCATGAACTCCACGAGGTCTCCCCCCCTTCTATTCGTTGCCGCGCTGCCCCACAAAACGTGGTGAGCATTGCTGTCGCAGCCAATCAAAAGAGGAAGATTCGCCTCCTCACAGTAGGAGACCAAGTCACTGATCTCCTGCGGAGGACAGCTGCGGTCGCCTGGAAAGTGCGCAGAGGCGACTACTACCTCCCTCACGCCGTCCCGAGTGGGGGATCTGACCAGAATTGGAACCATGTCCCTGGACGCCTTGTCCTTTAGGAAAAAGGCCTACAGCCCCATGGTTAGTATACAGGCCCTGGGACCGCCCTCTAAGGAGTCGACACAATGCAGCATCGATCCTCCCAGAGATAAGCCCTTAACCCTTGATTTTACAATCCAGGGCTCTTGGATCAGTACAATGGATGTACCGCCCTCCGAAATTTTCCTGCATAAGTGGGCCGTTGCAGCCCTGCTGTGTTACAGGTTAATCTGTAATATCTCCGTGAAGATGTTATTACGGGGATACCACCTGCGGGTCACGATGCTAGCCTCAGCCCTAATCCGAGCCCGAGGTAGCACCTCCCTCCGCTTCCGCTTCCTGACTGGTGGACCCTGATGGGATTCCCCGGTCAACTTCCATCCGAGATACCTCCTCGGTTCTCGCTTCCTCGGAGGGCCCTCCGGAGGTCTCCTCCACAGAAGCCGTGGGCGCCGCCTCTCTGACAGGCCCCCCAACCTCCATGGACGAGCCCTCTTCGTGTGAGCCCCCCGCAGCTACCTCATCCCCCTGCGGCCTCGGCGCCGCCAGGTTCACTTTTACCTGAGTCGCCAGGCAGAAGAGAAGTGAGCCCTTAGCCGTGATGGCGCTTGCCGATTTCTCGTCCACGCCGACCACCAACCTTGTGCCCCTTGCATCCTCCGTCCTCTGCCCGACCCTCCAGGCACGGCAATCTAGGCCATTCTGAGCTGCCTTGCAGCGGACTAGTGCCTCGTTCCAGATACCCGCCCCCAGGCCCGGAATCCAGATCGCCGCCCTTCTCAGTTTCAATCCTTCCGGATCGACCTCCACCAGGTTTGCGAGCCCCCAGGGCCTGACGTTGATCAGCTCCCTGCGAACCCACTCCCTGGTTTCTTCATCCATCATCTCGATCAGGATGTGGCTCCTCCACAGCCTAACCGAGCGTATCCGGGGATGGGTGCATTGCCCCCCCTGCATGACATACATGCTTATGCGGAGGTTAAGAGACCCTACGAACCGCAGTAGGTCTTCGGAAAACAGGTCAGTTTCCTGTCCTCTGAGGCCCACCACCAGTTCAGGCCCCCCCGCCGCCGCTTGTGCATAGGACCGAGCCCCCCCTCTCAGAGCCTCCCCGGGCCGGCCCGCCTTTCGCGGGCCCAGCTTTCGCCGGGCCGCGTGTCGGCCGTCGACCCCCGGCAGGTGCCCCAACCTGGGTGGTCTCTCCCATTTTTCTATTCCGCTTCCCGCCTGCCGTTTCCGGTGTGCCCCCTATGGAGCCCTCCGTTGACGACGTGGCGGGATTCCTGGGCGCCGGAAGAGAGCCCGTCTGCGGTTCCGAAACCGTCACCGCGAGTCTCTTCTTCTTCGCCCTCCTTTTTTCCGCCCCACTCCTATGTCTGGGGCGGCGTGTCATCGAGGTAGTGTTCCCGGTTTGTACCGAGCCCTCCATCCCGCTGGCGACCTGGGGATCCTGTTCAAATCACCCTTGGAGGGGGCATTCCTGAGGACGCCTCTGCTTGCTGGAGCCCCCCTGGGGCCCCTCCTCCTTCTCCTTTACACATTTCATTTCTGGTTTCATAAAGGTCCCACGAGTAGCTAGGGAAACAAACGGTCCACCTCTGCAGAGTCTCGCATGCAGAGGTAAGGCTTACTTCCCCGAGGTGCGCCCGCTGCCTCGGGGTTGGGATCGGTAGAGACTGATCTTCTATCCAGCCATGCATCCCCTAGGCCCAAGCCCCCACCGTAGGATTTAGGATTTTTATTGAGGTTTACTCCTCTTGGTCCAAGTGGTGAAGCGCAGACCCCCCGCGTCGCGTGCCCACTCGTCGAGCCGGCACCCGACGCCTGGTTTATCGACCGACTACAAGCCAGTTGGCACCGTTATACCCTGTGCAGGCCACGACACGACAGCTGGGCAGGGTGAGCTGGTCCACGACTGGTTATTTGTCAGCCCTATTGGATTTTTACCTCCTCATGCCTCCTTATTCCCAGCCACCCAGGCCCGTGAGAGCCTGGGCTCCCCTATCCGCCACCCGGGGGACGCGCCTCATGGATTGCTCAACCACAGAGGCTTTAAGCCCTGTAGATACGATGCATTTTCTACATGTATTTATTCATATAAGCTTTTTTCCGAATTTTTTTTGCTTATAAATCCACGCAAAGCGTTAGTTTTCATAAACTCATAGATTTAACCGCTATTGAAATAACTTTGAGACACTAAATATCGCACAAGAAACATGTAAGTGGAAAAAAATGTTCAACAAGCACCTCCTATAGACAGTAGTTGACGATGGATATTTCCTAGGCTTGTTCAAGTAAAAATTCCACTTGCAGCATAATTGTTTTCTTATATTTCCTGTAATTCTTGTACGTTAAACCGGAACAATCTTCGTAGCTATTTAAGTATACCTAAAAATTTTGTTTAGTAAATTCACATGTAAATTTGTGTAAGTCTATTTTCCAGTTTGTTAAATGTCAAATATATAGGCATCACTGTTACTCTAAGATCCTATTATCCTATATTTGCCACATTTGCTGTAATTTCGTAAAAGAAGAAAGTATTGGAAGCACAAGTTTGTGAGTACGGTACGGAGATATTGACACCAAAAGTGAAAACAACAATAGCACATGGCACTAACTCTTCTGTGACAATATTAATTATCTCGGCGTTACCAATTATGTCCGGATTTCAGACAGTTGGGGGTGACGCATGCCCAAAAGATCCATGCGTTCTCTACGAAAATATCACAGCCACCTGCGGCGCATCAATTTTTACCGTAGTAGGGCCACCATATTATCTTATGTTGTTCACCCGTTATAGTTTAGTTATGGTGAAACTTATCGACAAAATGGTAACTCATCTGAAAAGGTTTTTTTTCACGTAGGGTCCAGTTTAACTTTATCCTATAAAATAAATTATATAAACTAAACGCGTTTTTTTAGTAAAACACTGTATGTCTTTTAATATTTTCGTTAGGCTTTTTATTAGCTTTTCAAAAATATGTAACACATAAGAGTCTGAAATACAAAACATGGAAATTTCAGATTGTTTTTTACATAAATTAAGCAACTTATTTCAAAAATTAACTGCCAGTCAAAATGAACTTGTTTGTGTGTGATAATGGGTTAACACGAGCGAGAGCAAAAAAAAGCGGAGACGGAAATTAAAATATACACACAAAAAAAGTCAAATATGCTTAAATATATTAAATATTTTTGAAAAGCTCATAACAAGCCTATTAAAATTATTAGAAGATATTGTACATCAAAATTTGAGAGTTTCTGAACTGATTGCGCCACTGGAACCTACGTAAAAAATCCTATCCAGGTCAGTTTTCATCTTTTCGGTTAGTTAAAAAGCCTGAGTGAAGAGGGATGAGTTAAAAAAAGAGTCACGAAAGCCCCAACACGTTAGCTTTATTAGAAATGGAGATAAAACCATCAAAAATTGGATTGCACTGTACAAGTTGTTTATAAATATTCTGTTTACTAAAATGTGTTTTATATCTGTTTCACTCTACGTCTTTATAAAAAAAATGATGATGGTCCTCGAATGACGAAACGTCCAAATGAAAATCCGTCTTATGGAGGAAAGACAACGTAATAAATTTAAGAGTGTTTATTCTCTGACAGTTTCTCATTTACAGGACACCACTGTTTTGTGCTTCGTAATACAATTCTATCGTTTATAACGTTTACACCCGGAAACACGGTTCGTAAAAACAAAGAGCTTCGGAAATTCTAAACCTCCTAAAAAATATTTAGAATTAGTGGACAACGTTCGAAAACTATTTTGACATATAAAAAAAGATGATGAATCTGACGTACTATTATCTCCAGGGCGACCAATGAGATTGCTAGTAATTCTATAGCCTCCTTTTATAGAAGACCTAAAGATTAGATTTGGTATAACATACCAAAAAAACAATAAAAACAAAAAATCTAATCAGTGTTAAAATGTCTACACCCATGACCGTTTTAAAACTACCCCATTAAATCGCAATGTGGATTTTTTTGTTGGTTCACATACTTTTACAATAAAAAGTGTCTAGCAAGTTGGCCACAAAGAAGTTAATTTGTTGCAGCAGATTCGGATATGGCCCAACTTGTATTCAATAAGGCATTATTTCGCTTTGGTCGCAAGTTTCGAATCAAACTTAGTAACTAAGATTTTATATGGAATTCCACCTTCTCCGATTCATAATTATTATGTTAGGTAATATCTATGGTTTTGAGAGTCAAATGTCAGACGCAAAACCTTAATTACACTGTAGCGAGCTTTGCATGTTTGGTATTTACAGGGCTACTCTTCTTCTCGTACCACTTCTCGGACTTAACTTTCTGCTCACGCCCTTTCGCCCTCAAGGAGAACACGGTTGGGTATACTTCTACGATCTCGTGTCGGCGATTACCACATCGTTCCAGGTAAGAATCGAACACAATCTTAACTGGGTGATTAACTAAACAACAGAATACATTTTTAATTTTTTTCTATAATGTTACGTGAGCGGTTAGTGGTATTTTAGGTAGTTTTTAATGAATGAATAAAATTGCTGCATTTTTCTAATTGTAAATGAGATTAATTGGTAATAAGTGACTTTCAAACTTATCAGACGATAACGAACAAGAAATTAGAATTACCACTAATGGTTTATACATGCATTAAGGGGCGTAAGGGTCGCAAAAGAAAGAAAAAAGTCCCTAAGAATTTTTTAATATCATGCGGAAGTTAACTTTACCACCATATTTTATTTATTGCATAAGTGTAACTTTCTGTCGTAAATTATTTAAAAAAAATCCTGGCATTAACTTTATACAAAATTTCATAACTCCATTAACATATGTATTTGTATACAATGAAAAATAGTTAATAGTATTATGAGAAAATATTTTATGACAAATTTGCCTCAAATAAGTGACAGCTGATCCCTCAGTTTTTTTACAAAAAAAATCAACACAAGTTAAGTTAAATTAAAATTATTATTATTATTAGTATTATTTTATGTTGTTGTTTAATTCATTAATAATCATATTATGTTTCTGAAAAAAAGCTTTTGCATCCAATTTGATTAGCTAATATGAACAATTTATATTTATTTCATATTGAAAAACTCTAGCAAAAACTAATGTTTCATAACTGAGTTGTCTTTCAGCTCAGCAACCTCTCTTTTAATCAGCAAAAAACAGGACAAAGCTTCAACATTTAAGCCTGACACGATATCATATCTTTCTTCAATATGCATCTATCTGCAAAACGGTTGTGGCTAAAACATTTGGTCACTTTCTGTATTTGAGTATGTGTGTGTGCGTGTGCGAGTGTGCCTGGATAATAATTAACAGTTGCCCAATATTATCACTCTGCAACTCTTAAAAACGCTTTTTTTTAATTCCTTAAAAAGCTATAATAATTGTACTGTTTTGAAATGAATATATATTCAATTATCAGAATAGCATCGTTGAGAGAAATCGCCGAAACCGCAAAAAGCATCGAAAATTTTAAATGTTGTAGAGCGCGACTAGATAACTTAAGGATAGTTATGCCATAATTTAATGTGAAAAATAGAATTAATTAAGTTTGGAACGCAATAACTAGTTACCAAAGGCTTAACTCATCTCTGTAATTTCACATCCTCGTCAAGTGTCAAATGATAATCACCGATAACACGAACTTTATGAAATATTCTCGTTTAACAGCTGCTTCCCATAGAATATTATCCTAATCTGGGGATGATAAATTATTACACTAATTAAAAATTTGTTTAATTTCGTTAGCAACAAATTGCACGAGGCTTGCCTTACTTCGACATAAATCAGTTTAATGTTGCATCGAGATATAAAAAAATTGAGCAAAATATAACATTTTATTAGAGGCGTCTCACAAAGTTTGAACGATTTTATGAGAGGTTCAAGAAAAGAAACACAGAGGAAAGTTAACAGGTGCGGTTTCATAGCCAGACGGCAAATAGTTCGATTTGTTATAAAAGTTTGTTTGGATTACACCTCCAAAGAAATGTCCGTCGAAATGTCCGATTGGGGTTTAGCCCAGGCAATACATTTTTTACAGAAAATGTGTCGATAGATCTACGCGAGGTGACCCATGGCTAAACAAAGATAAATCTTGGTTTGTGCTTACTAAAAATCGTTTTGTTTTTATAAATTTTATCTTGATAAAACATGGCAGGTTTTTCAATAACAAGGGGCATCACCTTATGTTATTGTCAAAAAAGTAATAATGATAAATAACAAAATTTTATTTCCATATTAAACATCGTTTGGTATCCTGAATAATGAATGAGCTTTTTATTTGATAACATAGCGATTACTAAACATTAATAACAACCCGTAGACTAAAAATGCCTCAAAACATTCAATTTTTTTAGTTTTATGTTCATTATTAATATTTCATTTTAGGATAAAGATATTGACATACGAATTTAATCAGGTTATTGAGTCCTTGTTTCACTATCTAATAAATCCTGATTTTTCAGATAATGTCAGAAAGCGTCAACTGCTGGCAAAATAAGCAATCTCAATTGCTTGACTCATAGTATGATAGTAAGACTAGGAAAAGAACTTTTTAATGACGTAATAGCGTAACGAAAACAATTAACACCAACATCAAACATCCATTTTCCGTCAAATTTAAATTAACATAATTTGAGGGGAAACGAAATGAAAAATTAATTCGTAATCTGTCAGATAAGTGTCACGTTCTAATTCCTATAAAAATGAGATCTGACATTAATTAACATTGAAAAGCTGGCAGTCATTAGATTTCACGTTTCTCGAGATGTTGATGCAATGCTATATTATAACTTAAATTGCGCGTTTTTAAAAATTGGTTTTAAATACGATAAAGTGTAGTCTGAATAATATATAAATTATTTTAGGTACATATTAAATATCTTAGTTTCCTTGTTTCCAGGGTCTTTGTGTCGCCATCCTCTTTTGTTTCTGCAATGGAGAGGTAAGTAAAATTGACAACTTTAAAAAAAACTTTCTATTGAAAAATGAAATATAACTATTTCATTAAAATAATATATTATGCTACAAGATGTATAAACGTCACTTTAGTCACGATTTTTTCGAAGACAGTATAAGTGAGACAAGTGATGTTCCGTCAGAATTAACATACGTCACATACTAAAGGACCGAAAATATCCTAAATGGTACGCGACCATGCGTTACCAAATTGGCGTCTTACAATGACACTTTTAGCACATTTCATTTGCGCATAATGTTTAGTATTTTATATTAGAGAGTAGAAAAATGATTTTTTCAATTGTTTATAAATTTTTAAAATGCTTAAAATAAAGAGTCTTAAGACTAAAATGGTTATTTGGGTGTTAAGTGCGAGTGACACCAGCAAATAGCTATTTTCTACATCTGACTAAAGGAATCTTTTTTAAAAACTTATAATGACATATGCTACACTTGGTTTTAACATACTAAAAAGAATTCATTTTGCAGACAATTTTAATACGAAGCCGAATGAAAAGTATACCCTATACAATGGAAAATGGAAGAAAAATCTAGCTTCTAGTCTCTTGATCTTCTGCCTTTTACCTTGGATAGGTTACGAAAGTTTTTAGCAGGCGCTACACTTTAAAAGTAGTTGCTTATGGATTGGGTTTGTTTTACTCGATTTTGGGTCTTTTTTGTTGGGTTTGGGGTTTGTTTTTACCATTATCTTATCAGAAAGATAGGATTTAATTTTTGTTTAAAAATTCAAATTATTCAAAAAATCGGTAGGCGACAAATTATAGGTAGACCGTATAACCGAACATAAATTAACCGGAAATATTATTAGGTAAATCGCATACTAAACCGGCACCAGAGCCATATAGCCTTTCAGCAGTTCAGCACTTCAAACTTCCACAGGCTACTGTAATACTTTTTACAAAACTTCTGGATTCCTCCTGCGTCGGTTTTTGCTGAATCGAAATTGCTGACGTTTCGCCAATCATCCTGTTGGCTTCTTCACTGACTGACTTGACTGAAAGTGGATCGATCGACTCAGCAAAAACCGACGCAAGAGGAATCCAGAAGTTTTGTAAAAAGTTCATTAGTGCTGTTTTGGAAAAATTAACCCAACAAGTAATGTTCGCAGGAAACTTGACCTGAGGTGGCTTTTACTTAATGAAAATCGATTTAACAAAATAAATAATAACTAAAAGTTCAGATTTTCACGAAATTATATATATTCACAGACATGTTGCCGAAACCATAGTGATGTGAATATATATGATTTCGTGAAAATCTGAACTTTTAGTTTTAATTTATTTCGCAAAAAACGTAGAGTATGGAACACTTTGATAAACTTCTTCAGTTACTCGTTTATTAAGCTCAAATCAAATACCAAAATCAAACTTGTTTCTATGAAAATTGCATTTATCAAAGTTATAGCAGAATATAGTATTATTCACACATATGTGTTATTAAATGACTAATACGTAATTTAAGCCCAAAATATTAATGATTTTAATAACTATCAAAATACTTAGCTCATTTTTAGAGAAATTTATTCAAAATACCTTACACCTTACAGCCTCTACATGTTCGTTTTTTGCTTTTTCAAAATTTAACCAAATACACTTCACTTACGCACTAGGCGTTAAAAGGAAGACCGTGAAATATAATATGAAATATTAAACATAAAAAAAAATAAACTGGGAAGGTTACAATCTGATGAATCAATATCATGCATATAGGAACTGGGTATTATTTGGTCCATTCAACCAAGATACAATCGGAGTTTGCAGGAATATGTCGTTCCGGAGAGACACGTAAACTCACTTTGCTTCAGTTCGTTCCAATTATCGCTTCGTAAACAATACACCTCGCGGCATTTTGACATTGTTTAATATATAATTTCAGTTAGTTGAAATATTGTTATCGAATATTTGTGAGATTACCGGATACCTAATTCACAAATGTAATAAGTATTTGTTTTTAAAATTAGCCAAAGCTAGGTTTAGTTAAGGATAATAAAATTAATTCTTATGTCAGGAGAGTTTTATATATTTATTATTATATATTATATTTATATTATATTATATATTTTATATATTAATTATTATTTGAGTATTATGGAAATTATACTTTTTTCTATAAAATTTCGTAAAGAAACTTTTGACGAAATTATTTAAGTAAAAAGTGTACAACCACAATTACATTGCACAGTTTAGGTAACGAAAGAATAAAGTCCTTGAATCCACCCGATAAATGCGAAATTCCCTGTATAAATCTTACTGGTAATATAAAATACGGTATTGTATAGTTAGAATAGAATTCCTAAAACTATCTCACATGCAATGTATCAATTATATATCCTACATCAAATAGACATTTTATAAAATACCGATTTTTTCCAAAAAACGCCATATTTTTGGTCACGTCATTTTTTATAGCGTTCTATCTCTTAAAAATGTTATTTTATTAATATACATACCTATGACATGAATATGTTTATTCCATGATTTTAAATGAATTGATTTTTATGAAACTAAATGTGATTTGGAAACACTGGATAATATTAGATTTCTCTACAAACCAAAAGTTGGCGCAGAAGCCTGAGAACAGCGCTGTTATGTGCAGTTTAGTTGTATTGGTCGTCACGCTACTATGTTCGAGGTTGTTGTTGCAAAGAATACATTGTGTGGAACAATCCAAATAACTTTTTTTATATATGTGGTAGTTATCTACTAGTAAAGCAAAGGTACACTATAACTTTTTTTATGAAAAAATGTATGCTCAGAAACTGGCAAAAAGGTAGGAAGAAATGTTTAAGCTTTGGTGTTCCTATGGTATTGCGAGAGCCTAGGAATCACAGTGATGATTGTTACTTTGTCGAGAAAAACGCCTAGGTTTCATTTCATTAAGTTTTTTATTAAAGTAATTATAACTTTCTTTAAGGACGAAAACTACAAAAGTATTGTTCAAAATATGTTACAACACTTTCATAGTATATATTGTAATATGAGTTTAAAAGTGCATTTCCTGTTTTCACACTTGAATTATTTTTCTGAAAATCTTGGGGCAGTTAGTAAAGAACAGGGAAAGAGGTTTCACCAGGACATTAAGGAAGTGAAACGGCGATACCAAGGCAGATGGAGCATAACGATGATGGCGGACTACTGCTGGATGTTAACACAGGATATGTCCTTAAAAACACACAGGCGAATGTCCGGACAACGCGGCTTTCTGGCAAAAAAAAAGATTTTACTCAAAAAAGTTTTTTTTTCACTTCTTCTGACTGGGACTCCACATTTTTCCGTTTCTGTTCCGTTATTTTTTCTTTAATTATTGCAAATAGACCTTACGCGGTACAAATAAATGCAGAGAATTTTTAAAATCAGCCTACCAAAGGTAAGTAAAATCGGTTTTCAAAATAAAAACATCTGTCTGATACAAATAATTTGCGTAAATTTAACAAACGTTAATGAGTTTTATTCGGAATATATAAGTGCGGTTTCTCAATATCAATAATGCGAAATCAACAATGCAGCAAATTACTCGATATTGAGCAACGTCCTTCTCTTCTTTTTTGGTTGCTGTTGCAAAATCCCAAGTAAAACGTTGACAAGGCCAGAGAGATTTTGAACGTAGGTGCATTTCAATATTTCAATAGAGATCAAACAAGCTCGTTCTTTGAGAAACTCGACCGAAATATAATGAATGAAATGTTTCCATACATCTAAATTATACCCTGTGATTCCTAAAATTCCATCTTCAGACAATTTTTGCACTTTCAATTCTCTCTTTCGTACATTGTTTAACTTAGACTCATCGAGCATTCAATAAGGAGTTAGCCATAATCAGACCATTAGCAGTATATGTCGAGCAGTCAGGCCGCAAAATTTCTTTAAACATTCCGAGGGTACAGTTTTTAAATCATCTTTTGCGAATCACGTCATTAACATTAGGCCAAATTTTTTCACCTGAAGAAAATGTTTGGTGTTACGTACTTGCGACCAGGACAAGAAAGCTGGAATTATTGCAAAATATGGGGATCGAAAAGGCATTAAACAATTGTGATATTAAATGTTTACGATGAGTTTTTATTTGTCTTAATTTTAATAACATTAATGATTTATATTTTAGATATTTTTCATCCTGGGTCCCATCTTATCTTGCTCTGCTGTTTCTGTTTGTCTTTATCCGCTTTAATCGATTATTGTTTGTATGTTTATCATTAGATATCATGATACTAGTTTTGCTAGATCTTCTTTTTAGAATTAGTTTAATGAATATTTTTTATAATCTGATAGTCTGTATGATCTAACACATATCAGATACTGTGCATTTTTTAGTATTTTTTATCATATTGTGTTTTGTTTTCGGAGAAAATTATTTGATTTGTTGGATGTATCTATTAGTGGAAAAAAAGAGATCGGTGTTCAACCAGCATCATTAAACCAAACTAACCGAAACAAAAAAAGTTTCTCATGTGTTGCGCTAGATGTTTATTTTAATCAGTGCCAAGCTATATCACAATACACTGGAATAAAGCATTAAGATTCGCACACATGATTTTAAAATAAACATAAACAGTTGAGAAAAATCTGGAAAGTGGCAAAAACAATATGGATATAATTAGCCTCCAGCTATAAAAATAATACGGGATAGCTCACCACCACGGGATTGTTTTATATCTCCATAAGAGTTTATTTTATCGAAAAATTCTAAATACAAATATTGCTTGTATGAAAGTGCTACGTGTATTAAAAATTGTTACTATTATATAACTATTATACTTTTCTGAAAAAAATCCATATTAGATTCCCTAAAGTTTTCCTATAGTTAAACCCAACGGTTTCTTAGATATCTTGATTATTTTTAGAATTATGTTGCACACTGCAACAATCATCCTTTCGAAACTAATATTGATTTATAGCTTCCAAGGCGTCCAAAATTTACCAATAAATTACTAGCTGCAAAACGTCAAATACGACATCCTGATCGATT